AATTGTCTGGTTGCTTCCAGAACCCCCTATTTGATCCCTTCCCCTTTCTCTCTACCCGATGAGCTTCTCTGTGCGTTGCCCCTTTCCTAGAGTGAGAGAGTATCGGTTCTCTCTGAGTATTAGCTCCGGCTATACTCCGGTGAGACCTTGGGGTTCCTACTGGGGTCTTCACTCTGGTCTGGTAGTTTGGGGGGTTATCTCCTCCGGTGAGATTCCCGTTGGTGTGGTCTGGGTGGTTGGGCTCTTAAACTCTGAGTGTAGTTGACTGTTGCCCTTCAGTTTCCCTTTTGCAACCTTGGTGGTGAATGCTGAGCGAGCCTTTGGGCTTTTGGTGATTGAGGTCTGAGCCGGTGCGTAGATCCAACAGTGGTATCAAAGCTTGGATGCCGCCTCTCACTGACGCCGGGAACTCGCCGGAGACAGGGACCATCCAAACCGGTAACGCCGGGTGCTCCGTCGAAGATTGGTAAGTCGGGCTGTCGTTTCAGTGACACCCGCTCAGGTATAAGTCTGAAACCCTAACCTATGGGTTGCCGGAGTGCCACCGGCCTCTGTGTTGCATGGGTAGATCAATAACCCCAGGTTATAGGTCTGCCGAGTAGAAACCCTAGAAAAACCATTGCATGTGCAGTATCTGTTAGTACAGATCTGTAGAAACCCTAGGTATGGTTCTATTGTGCATGAGTGGTCCAATCTGTGTCGAACTTGGCCACTGATTGTTTGAGAAATCTGATTAATTTGACTGTCTATGTGTGAGTAATCTTTAACTTGTCTGTTCTGTGTGTGTCTGCCTCCGAATCCTTCTCAGTATTGATTATTCTTCTGCCTTATCCGTTGTGATTATTTGATAATCTTCTGTGTCCATTAGTTCTTCACATTCACCTGTTCTGAGTTCGTCTAATAGTGTGGCTCCTTGACCCCTAGTTGGTTAGGGCACTTGAGGTTAGGGCTAAGTGATACCCTGCCAGCCACTTTAGTGGCCCCGGAACTGTGTGGTCACTTAGTCCGCGGCCTGAACCTCTAGGGTTAGCCTTTATATTACCTGTATCTCAGCAGTTGGTGTGTTGCCTATTACCATGGCTTCAAACCTGTATGGTATGATGCCTTTTAATGGTAAGACTGACTTTGATATATGGAAACAAAAGATTAAATGTGTGTTAATCCAGCAGAAAGTGTTTAGGGTAGTTACTGGTCAATACTTAGAAACTGAGGATAAGCCTAAACAAGTTGAAATGAATGAGACTGCCTGTTCAACCATATACTTAAACCTGTCTGACTCTGTCCTTAGAAAGGTTGGAGTTATTGAGTCTGCTAAGACCCTCTGGGATAAGCTTGAGTCCCTATATACTGACACTTCCCTTCCTGGCAAATTGTTTTTATTGGAAAAATTTTTTAGGTTCAGACTGGACCTAACAAAAGATATTGATGAAAATCTTGATGTTTTTAATAAGTTAATTCAAAATATTAAGCAGGTTGGGGATAAGCATATAGATGACTATACTGCTATAGTGTTACTCAATGCTATACCAGATTCCTATAATGATGTTAAGTCAGCCATTAAGTATGGGAGGGATGATATAACCTTAGACATTGTCATTAATGGTCTTAGAAGCAAAGAACTGGACTTAAAATCCTCTAGAAACCATCATAGGGATTCTGGGGAAGCCTTGTTTGTTAGAGGAAGGTCTAAGAGCAGGTCTAGGTATCCTAAGAAGGATAATCATGATAAGGGAAATAGGCAAACTGGAAAGAAAAGGTTTAAGTCTAGGAAGAGAATTTGCTATAACTGTGGTAACCCAGGACATTTCATAAAAGAATGTACCCAACCTAGAAAGAATGACCAGGCTAATGTTGTGACCAATAAGGATGAGAATGAAGTCTTTATGGTCTGTGATGAAGCAAATTCTGTGCTTAGTAGTCTGACTGAGAGTGAGTGGTTAATAGATTCAGGTTGTACCTACCATATGACACCTTTTAGGAATCTGTTTACTTCCTACACTTTGTGTGAAACTGGTTTTGTTTCTCTAGCTGATAGTAAAAGGTGTAAGGTCCTTGGTATTGGTGACATCAGTCTAAAATTTGAAAATGAAATTGTTTTTCAAATTAGAAATGTTAGACATGTACCTGATTTAAGACATAACCTACTTTCAGTCTCTGCTTTTGAAGAATGTGGCCTTGAGGGTAAATGGGGAAATGGGTGTATGAAGATTTTGAAAAACTCCCTTGTTTTATTCAAAGCCTTGAAACAGAATAATCTATATGTTGTCCAAGCTAAACCATTTTATGAAAATGCTAATGTTGTACTCAGTGACAAGTCTGTGCTTTGGCACCAAAGACTTGGTCACATGAGTAATAGAGGATTAAACATTTTGCAAAAAAATGGGTCTTTTGGAAATTACTTGGTGTCACCTATACCTTTCTGTGAAGGTTGTGTTCTAGGCAAGCAACATAGGGTTCAATTTCCTGTCTCTAGTTATCCTAGTGAACCTAGGTCTAAATCTGTCCTTGACTACATACATGCTGATGTGTGGGGTCCTTCCAGTGTCCCTACCCATGGGGGTAGGAGGTATTTCCTGTCCTTAATTGATGATTACTCTAGGAAAGTTTGGGTCTGTTTGCTAGAACATAAGTCTGATGTCTATTCTAAGTTTAAGGAGTGGAAGGTTCTTGTAGAAAACCAAACTGGGTGTAAGGTTAGAACCCTTAGAACTGATAATGGCTTAGAATTTTGCAATAAGGACATGGATAGTTTATGTTCTGAATGTGGGATTAGGAGACACAAAACGGTGCCCTATACTCCCCAGCAAAATGGCCTAGCTGAAAGGATGAATAGGACTCTTCTAGATAAAGTTAGGAGCATGTTGTCCACTTCCGGGCTCCCCAAGAAGTTTTGGGGAGAAGCAGTTAACACTGCTGTATATCTGATCAATAGGTCTCCTTCTGTGCCTTTGGGGGGTAAAACCCCTGAATCTGTGTTCTCTAGAAAACCCATTGATTTATCCAACCTGAGAGTTTTTGGGTGTGCTGCTTTTGTTCATCAACAGACTGATAAGCTTGATCCTAGGTCTAAGAAATGTGTATTTCTAGGATACCCTGAAGGTGTAAAAGGCTATAGAGTTTGGGATAGAAATCAACCTGGTTTTAAAGTTATTATAAGTAGAAATGTGATCTTTAATGAAACTGATTTTCCTTGCTTAGTTAAGACTGTGACTGACCCTGAAACTGAACCAAATGGCACCCCTCAAAGTGAGGTGGAGCCTGTGCAACCTGCTGCCACCCCCCTGTTTACTGAATTGGACTCTTCTGATAATCCTGACCTTACCAACACTATGCATGATACCCACTCTACCTCCAGTGAGGTGGAGCTGCACACTGATTCTAATAGTAATGAGAATATGCATGAAGTGTTTACTGAGAATGATTCTGCTGATAATTCTCATGATACTGAGGATCAAGGTCTAGAAGGATATCAACTGGCTAGAGATAGAGTTAGGAGAAATATAAGGAAAATTTCTGATAGCATGACTGATTATGCTTTTCATCTCTATGATACTTCCTTGTTTGCTTTCTCTGTTTTTGAAACTCTTGATTTGAATGAACCTGGAACCTACCAGGAAGCCCTTGCCTCTAGAGAATCTAAAAATTGGCTTAGTGCTATGAAAAGTGAAATAGATTCCCTTAAGGAGAATAAGACCTGGACCTTAGTGCCTAGGATTCCTAATTGTTCTGTTGTTGAGTGCAAATGGCTTTTCAAAGTTAAAGAGGAACCTAATAATGTTAGGTTTAAGGCTAGGTTAGTTGCCAAAGGTTTCACTCAAAAGGAAGGGATAGACTGCTGAAATTTTTGCCCCTGTAGTAAAATTTACTACAATTAGGATGATGCTTGCTTTAGTTGCCCATAATGACTGGGAAATGAAGCAGATGGATGTTACCACTGCCTTTCTACATGGAGAATTGGATAAGCAGATCTTTATGACCCAACCTGAGGGTTTTGTTGACCCTAAGTACCCTAGGCATGTTTGTCTTCTTAAGAAGGCTCTCTATGGCCTTAAACAGTCTCCTAGGCAGTGGAACATTAAATTCGACCAATGCATGTCCTCCCTAAGTTTCAAAAGGTCTGATTCTGATCCTTGCTTGTATTTTAAGAATGCTGATTCTGTACTTGTTTTCTTGTTGATCTATGTGGATGATATGCTTATTATCAGCCCCTCTGTGAATGCCATTGAGAATGTTCAAAAGTATCTTTGTAAAAACTTTGCTATGAAGGACTTAGGAGATGCTAAGAGAATCCTAGGGATTAATATCATTAGGGATAGGAGTAGATGTACCCTTACCCTTAACCAGACCCCCTACCTTGATAAAGTCCTTAAGAAGTTCAACATGAATTCTGCCTTGCCTGTCAATGTGCCCTTAGCTTCTCATTTTGCTCTAAGTAAGGATCAGTCTCCTAAGACTGGCCCTGAAATTGATAGGATGAAGTCTGTACCCTATTCCAATGCAATAGGGTCGGTTATGTATCTCATGGTAAGCACCAGGCCTGATATTGCCTATGCAGTCAGCTGCTTAAGTAGATATATGGCCAACCCTGGGATGCCTCATTGGAATGCCCTGAAATGGTTGCTTAGATACCTTAAGGGTACCATTTCTCATGGTCTTGTGTTTTCTAAGTCTGATTCTGAAATATGCCTTACTGGTTATGTTGATTCCAATTATGCAAATGATAGGGATAATAGGAAGTCTACTACTTCTTATATTTTTACTTTGTGTGGTTCATGCATAAGTTGGAAATCTCAACTTCAGCCTATTGTTGCACTTTCTACTACTGAATCTGAATACGTTGCAGCAACTGAGGCCTTTAAAGAGGCTATCTGGCTGAAACGTATTCTATCTGAAATTGGTTTTCTTAGTCAGGTTGTAACTGTGTACTCTGATAGCCAGTCTGCTATACAACTGTGCAAAAACCCAGTATTTCATGACAGGACCAAGCACATTGATGTTAGGTTCCACTTCATCAGGGACATTGTCGATAAAGGAGGGATCAAGCTATGCAAAATAGCTTCTGAATTCAATCCTGCTGATATGGGGACTAAATGTCTCACTTTTGAAAAACTGTTTTCTTGTAAACGTATTCTTAACTTAGATTGTGGCTGATGAGAACAGATTAAAACAAGAAAAACCGGCGATGATGATACTCCCATTCACAGTTGTGCTCTACACCACCAGGGGGACCAATAAGGTGGAGATTGTTGATGGTATTGGTCCACCTCTTCCTTTGGCCTTACTTCACCCGTGTTGCCTCTTGGTCCACTTCAATTAATAGGCTGGTCTCCTATTAATTACTCTGGCCCAACTTGGGCTGTCTGCCTGACTCAGCCCACTCGCCCCTTTTGTCCATACCTAGCCCGTGACCCCTTTGTGGCCCTTTGCTTAAATTGTCTGGTTGCTTCCAGAACCCCCTATTTGATCCCTTCCCCTTTCTCTCTACCCGATGAGCTTCTCTGTGCGTTGCCCCTTTCCTAGAGTGAGAGAGTATCGGTTCTCTCTGAGTATTAGCTCCGGCTATACTCCGGTGAGACCTTGGGGTTCCTACTGGGGTCTTCACTCTGGTCTGGTAGTTTGGGGGGTTATCTCCTCCGGTGAGATTCCCGTTGGTGTGGTCTGGGTGGTTGGGCTCTTAAACTCTGAGTGTAGTTGACTGTTGCCCTTCAGTTTCCCTTTTGCAACCTTGGTGGTGAATGCTGAGCGAGCCTTTGGGCTTTTGGTGATTGAGGTCTGAGCCGGTGCGTAGATCCAACATTTTCTATTTTGCTTCATCAGTTATTTTAACACTTGCTTGAAGCAGCGCACTGATAGTAAGAACCGAATGATCCTTGACAATCTCTTATTCTGAATCATAACCCAGAAGTATCTCAATTTACTCACCCCTATTGTACCCATATACGTATACCCTCTGATATCCAGAGTTTCATAGGATATCAATTTCTCAACTTTTGGTTTGTTATCCATTAGCTAAGCTCTAATGTAAACTCCTTAGATACTTCCAATACTCTATAATCGGCCGAGAGTGTCATGACTTCTTTTATGAACACCATTTTCTCATAAGATTTGGGAAGAGTTTCTTTACGTGGTGTCGTAACCTCCTTCTTGAGCACCTCTTCTCCAAGATTTGAAAGATTCCCCCCTCTTGAATAACTCGTTTTGCTAAAAAGTACTATGGTATTCCTTCTTTTGTGACAACTTCAATAACCTTTCCCTGCCCTTGTTTTTGTGATTTATCCCCGGTAGTAACACTAACATCAGCATGTGTTTTTTATGCTAATCCTTTGAAAGATGATCAACACCCTTACTTCGTTGAGAGGGTCTGGCATGTCCTCCTAGTGAACAGCCTAACAGTCTGGAAAAGCTCCAATGAACCATGTTTTATCCAAACACAATCATAATTTTAAAACAAATTTATTAATGGCTAAACGCCATTCAATGCATAGTGATTAATTAAATTGAAGCGGCTTCGCCACAGAGCTATTCCCTCAATTTTTATGGGTACTATAGCATTCCCCATTATTAGAACTGATGAACCGGCCGGCCGGAGAAGCCAATTAACACGGCGGGAGTGGAGAACCGCACAAGCACTTGTTGTGGAAGTATGAATACTTGTCGAAACTCGTCTGCAGCCTCCCTTTAGGAATCTCGCCGCACAGTCTGTTGTAACTCACGTTGAACTGCTGCAGGTTTTCTACCGCCGTCAGCGCCGCCGGCAGAGTCCCTGTGATCTGGTTGTGGTTCAGATCCAGCGCGATCAAGCTCTTCGAGAACCCCTCCACTTTGGAGAAATCGAACTGGAACGCGTTTCTCGACAGATCTATTGTCTGGGCGTTCTTGCTTTTCCCGAACAAGATCGACGCGTCGCCTTCCAGTCTGTTCCGGGACAGATCTATCCTCTCGAAGTCAAGATTCCCGAAGGACGCCGGCAGTTTTCCGGTCAGTTGGTTGTGGGAGAGGTACAGATCCGGCGCCGGCGAGAATTTCCCGAAGGATTCCGGGATGGGTCCGGTGAGTTTGTTCCTGTCCAAGTGGAGTGCCCCGAGATTCCGGAGCTCGCCGAGAGATTCCGGGATGGGTCCGGTGAAGTTGTTGAAGGAAAGGTCGAGGTACGTCAGGTTCTTCAGCTGGCTCAGGAACGCCGGGATTTGGCCGGAGAGACTCGTCCAGCTAATGTCCAGAGAAGTAAGGCGCGTGAGCTTAGTGATGGACGGCGGGATGGTTCCGGTGAGATTGGGAACGTGATGAAACATCAGCTGCGTGAGGTAGGGGAGACCGCCGACGGACGCCGGGATTCGGCCGGCGAAATCGGCCTGGAAGACGGTGAGGGCGGTGATGCGGCCGGTGAGTCGGTCGCATTTCACGACGTACCAGCTGCAGCAGTCCGTCGTTGGGTCCCACGAGGCCAAATGATAGGGATTGCCCAGATCTTTCTTGATTTGGAGGAGGGCCTTTTTGTCATTTGAGTTGCAACGCGGCCGGGCCGCGGCGGAAGGAGGCGGTGCCGAGAGACAGATGATGAGAAGAGAAAGATAAACAATGGGTAGAAATGAAGAAGAAGAAGAGGATATTGTACAATAATCCTTCATTTTTTCAAGCATGCACATGTGAAAATGGGTAGCCACTGTTTTATAGTGAAAGGTCTGAGAAGAAAAGTGCTTTACGAAAATGCTCGCTGTCTGTTCATATTTCAACAGTGTTTCCTCCCACAAGATATTGGTTCTCAAAATGTACAACTGCACAAGTCATTAACAAAATGATTTATGAATAAAAATATAACTTCTTCACTTTCAAATTTGCAAGTTAGCTAATTCACATTTTCGTAAATTAAAAAATTCAATGTGATAAATTTATACGATAGCCCTTCAAAGTTAAAATACAGAGTATATTTTATTAATAAAAGAAAAAGAAAAAGAATATAAATAAATAGTTAAAATCATTTTAATTACTACATAATGCAAAACGTGAAATTCATAAATAGTTACGAGATTGTTAAAACTTAAGTAAAAAGACAGATACGTCAAATAGGGAATTTACCAAACATGGTTTTATTGATAAATAAAAGTAATTCACGCATTAATATACAAATATGCAAGTTAGCTCGTGAGGTAGATTATTGCGGGCAGAGAATAACAAATTTAGATTGTTATTAGTAGGCGTCAAGTACACTAGAGCTCGTGCTGTAGCTAGGATGATTACCAATGCTTATCGTATGTTTTTTCTTATACCATATTTCTAGTTTTATTAATAATGCAATGAACTAGATATTTTTTTCAAACGGAGACTTTTTTGTTAATCTTCAAACAAAGACTTTAAAGTCAGCAACAAATGATTTATCATTGTCAACATAATTAACTAGAGCACCTAATTCTTGAATCTAATTCTTGAAGCAACGCCACTAATTCTTGTTGGTTCCAACTCTGTATTTCATACGGAGTACTAGACATAGTTTAGAACTATCTAACAACATTATAATTTTAAGCAGTATCCTTGATTTGTGTTAATCTAAACCTAGTTACTCCATCCGTGCTACGCACGGGAGTGAAGTACATGAAATGTTTGTATAGATCATATATAAACTCAAAGAATTTCATAGTCAATCAACCTTACTCAAAACATAAAATTAAAAACTAAAACAAAATAATTAAATTAAAGCATAAAATAAAACAAGTATTCATATTTAATACAAAATTAAAAAAATAATGCTCAAGGTTAAATACGATGTAAAGCAAGGGAACTATAAATTACTATAAACTTCTTGATGTACTACATTCAATGCTGACTTCGTTGGTTTCTCTTCTTCGTCACATATAACAAACTTTAACCCAGATAGACTTGTTATTCTCGAGACTGCCACATATAATTCTCCATGCTTAAAAACAGGCTACTGCTATATACAGTAAACAACAGATATAAAATGAACAACTGTGAACCTCGACATTGACCACCTGTGATGATTAAGAGACAAAACTCACAAATTTACCAAAGTTGTTTAGTTTTATTTTGAATTTTAAAACAACATTTCATATTCAAATGCAAAACAGAGACATAAAGAAGGAAATGGAATATAAACGAATACACTAAAAAAAGATTGAAATTGAAACAAAGATGATCTACTAGAAAATAGGAATGCGAAGTATGTGGTTCATGAGTATGAATTGTTTGAAGGATGAAAGGGATAAGAGGATGGGCGTGAACAAACCAGATATCTTCAGGGAATTGAAGCCGTACTTGACGAGGTCTTCGTCCTCGTATTGTATAATAATTCTTGGAAAACTATCAATTTGGTTCTCGTATTTTTGTGAAAAAGTCAATTATGTCCCCGTATTTTTAAAAAGATCAATCAAGTTCTCGAACTTTGTAAAAACGTTCAATTGAGTACCTTTGTATGTTACTTGCCAGGTCAGTAGGTCAGCCCAATCATCAATATTTTGCTGACGTGGCACACATGTGGAAGTCTAGTCAGCCATTTGTTGATGTCGTGGCGCACACGTGGACCACCATGTATACTCAATTGAACGTTTTTAAAAAGTTCAAGGATTTGATTGATCTTTTTAAAAAGACAAGCACCTAATTGACTTCTATCTATTTATATATAAGAAAACAAATAGCTCCTTAAAAGACAATTACATCCTTCATTAATCCTTTGTGTCTATCTCCACACAATTTGCTCCTTTACTATAACAATGCCATGTGGCAAGTTTCAAGGATAATACGGCAATATCAACACCAAAGGGAGGTTGCTATATAATCTCAAAAAAACGTGGCTTCAAATATGTGGGCCCCAATGTATAAAAAACACCATTTTCTTTAAAGTGTTATAACTTTTTAACTGTTTATCTAATTTTTATGAAAAGAATATCAAAATTCATAATTTTTTACGACCTTTCATATGACACCAATATAACATATATAAATTTAAAAGACTCTGAAAATTTATTAAACAACCTTCATATTTTTCAACATCAATATCATTCCGTATAAAATAATAAAATAATTATTAACATATGAACAAAATAAGTGTTGGGATATTGGGTCCAGGCCCAATATCCCTAGGCCCAAATCCGGGAAGAAGCAGCAAGCCCAAAGAACTCCCGAACGGCATTCGGGATAAAACTTATACTTGGAACATTCTGGGTAACGATTATGCCAAGGTATCAAGGCCCAAATATCGATCGGCGTTCGGGATACTTCAGGTAGAAATTATCTCCTATGGCGGGATCCCACACACCGAACACCTTGACCGAACGGGCAATCAGCAAGTGGAGGCCGCATTTAATGCTGGATCATGGCGGCAACAAGTGGGGGCATGGGTGCTTACATGGCAGAGGTGATAGCCTACCAGATTCGACCACGTGTCCACCTTACCCATCCCCATTTTAGTATAAATACCCATGTTTAGATCATTGTAAAGGGTTAGCATTTTAATACTCAGAGCTTAGCAATAGATTTACATCTCCCATCCTTGTAATCTCATATTCATCTATCGTTCGGGTAGTTTCAGTGTAATTGCTTAATTACAGAATATAAGTAAGTTCTTGAGTTGGATATCATTTCACTATTTTATATTTTACACACATTTCAATCAACCCTACCCAATATCCCTACAATATCCAAGGCTTGTGTTGGGCTTTCGGATCTTCGGGAATAAACCTCAACATTGGCGCCGTCTGTGGGAAACGAAACTAAAAGTTCAAGGAAAACAGCTGATCTAAGCACCATTTTTTGAAATGGCTAGGCTTCATACCGCTACACCGAGTTCTGCATCCAGAGGACGAGGAGGCCATAGATCCTCTGAGGGGTGGTCCAGGCAAGGACACGCCAGTGGCAGTGCCACCCGGGAGTTCGAGCAAATCATCCCCCAGGATGTGAGGATGAACCCTCAGTTGATGAGGGATATGGCGGAGGCCATGCAACGCATGGCGGACGAACAGGAACGGGGCTACACGGATGAAACTCATGAGCCACCATCCCCGTTGCGTCCCATGCCATCTTTTGACGAAGAGGAGGACATCGAGACTACGATGGCCTCAGTTCATTCCGAGGAACGCCGCAGGAACCACTGGAGGGCCCATACCCCCAGACGAGGAGCACCAACCAGCCGAACCCCGTCCGCCCCTCGAAACGGATACAGGGAACCTACCCCCATGATAGATCCCGTTGGACAAAACTTCCAATATATCCAGAGGGATGGGGAACGCTTCATCCGGAGGAGGGCTAACATAGCTGCTCCTCCCCAGAACAGAATACCGGAATGTGTGGATGCTCGGATACCACACACTCCCCGAACGGCCCAAGACGACGAAATGGCCGAAATGAGGAGACAGATGACTGAGCTCAGAGAGCAGGTCAATCGGACGCCCCAACAAACCCCGCCAGCACGGGTTGGGATCACCTCTCCCTTTACTAGGGAAATCATGAACGCCGAAATCCTGAAGGACTGCCGTCCCTCGACCGGCTTAGCATACGATGGGGTGGGAGATCCCCACGTACACCTGAGGAGTTACCAGGGTGGCCTCATGCTATTGGGGGCCACCGACGCGGCAATATGCAGGCTGTTCTTCAGTACCCTTCGGGGACCAGCCCAGGAATGGTTCGGAACATTACAACCCGGGTCGATCGGGAGCTTTGCGGAGCTATCCACCTTGTTCTTGGCTCAGTTCGCCTCCAGCACAACCCCGAAATTACATTTCGGGTATCTAACCAGTGTGAGGCAAGGGCCTAGAGAATCAATCTCCGGATTCCTCACCAGGTGGAGGACCGAAACCCTGAAGGTGACCGGCATGACAGATGAGACGGCCATCCTTCTTTTCACCGATGCCCTTCAGACGGGAGATTTATACAGGGAGCTGAAGAGGAATCCGGGGACCAGCTACCCAGACATCCTGGAAAGGGCCAGGAACTATGCGGCCCTGGAAGAAGAGATCAGGATAAGGGACCGAACGGCCCCGCAACCTCCCACTTCAAGACTGGCAGAACGTCTGGGACCCACACCAGCGGCTGCAGCACCTCATCGAAGGACTACGCGCTTCACCCCCCTGGTCATGTCTATAGCTGGTGTTTTCCATTTGGAACATAACGCCATTCCTCCCCCTACTGACACAAGGCCCGTGATGGGACCTACCCCAAGCTCCTACTACAGATACCACCAACGGAACGGGCACCTCACGAAGGATTGCCACGCCCTACATGTGGCAATTGAGGACCTGATCCAAAAGGGCTACCTGAGGAAGTATGTCAGCACCAGCCTGAACAGCCCCAATCAGCGCCCTCCCCGATCCAATAGCTGGAAGCGGGATGCCCAGCGGGATGCGGAACCCAGTAATGATTCATACCTTCCCCCTATAGAGGAGGCTGAGGGGTCTGGGAATCCAGGGAAAAAGCCACGATTGGAGGTGAAAGTCATCTTTGGCGGGGGAGAGACCGGGGATACGGCCGCCGAACGCAAGAAATTTGAGCGCAGCCTCTATGTCGCCACTGTAGCTGCACCTCCCACAAAGAAGGGCCGCCTAGAGCCAATCATGTTCGGGGTGGCTGATTTACCCAACTCACCAAGTCCGCACAGGGACGAGCTAGTGGTGAGTATGTGTATAGACAACGCCTTGATCCACCGAGTTCTGGTGGACACGGGAAGTAGTGTGAACGTGCTGTATTTACGCACGTTGGAGAAGATGAAGCTAAAGAAGGACCAGCTGACCAAGCT